TGGAAATTGGGATATGGTAACTGTATCAGAAGTTCCTTCCTGAAGGCTGAATAGCATTTCATTGTATGTACATGCCACGTTTTGTTTATCCATTCATCATTCATACTTAGGTTGCTTCCACCTTTTGGCTACTGTGAATAATGCTGCTGTGAATATGGGTGTGAAAATATCTATTCAAGTCTCTCCTGTCAATTCTTTAGAAGTGGAATTTCTGATTACATGGTAATCTTATGTTTAATTTTTTTGAAGAACTGCCATACTGTTTTCTTTTCTTTCTTTCTTTTTTAAAAAAATATCTTTTATTGATTTCAGAGAGAGGAAGAGAGAGGGAGAGAGAGATAAAAACATCAATGGTGAGAGAGTCATTGATCCGATGCCTCCTGCAGGCCCCCCACTGCGGATCGAGAGGCCATCTCCTGGATCAAAAGTCGGTGCTCAACCGCTAGGCCACACCCGGTGGGCTGCCATACTGTTTTCCACAGCCGCTGCACCAGCTTACATCCCCCTAACAAAGCACAAGGTTCTAATTTCCGCAGATCCTTGCTAGCACTTCAAAAAAAAATCCATCTCAATAAGTATGAAGTGGTATCTCATTGTGCTTTTGAAGGAGATATTGAGTTTTTCTTCCTGATTGGCAGGAACTCTTTTATGTTAAAGTCTTTAACTGTGTTTATTGCAAATATGTTCCCAGTTTGTTGTTTGCCTTTTAATTTTGTGTGCAATTTTTAACATAGAGTTTTTGTTTTTATGTAATCAAATCTATTAATTTTTTCCTTAGCATCCCCTTACCTTCTAAGTCTTTCCCTTTCTTTCTATCTGATAAATATTTAACTATATTTCTTGCTTTCTTTTCCATCTACATTTTAATTTATCTGAAATTAATGTAGGGGTAAGATATACAGTAAGGGCCTAACCCCATTATAATCAATTGTTCAGCATCACTTATCAAGTAAGTTTTCCTTTCCCTCTTACAACAGATACTAAGTTCTTCATATATATTAGGATCTGTAGGTGGCACTGTGAGGTGCCTCCCAGTCTGCCTTCCAGAAGTAAAGAACTTATTCCCCCAGCTGTTGGAAGACAGTCTCAGTTTGGAGGATTGTCTCCCTTAAAGAAAACTGCTCACCCAAAGTGCCACCTCCTTCCAGGGATGGGTTGCATCCAAGGAGTAGCCAACATGAGGGTATAAAGGCCCACTTTGCCCCAGAGCAGGACAGTTCCTAAGGGCCATCCCAGCCCCCATGTGACCTTTCGGTTAGCTGAGGCTTTTGCCTTCCTTTCCACAGATGCTGATCGCCAAGTCACTCCCTAATAAATATCCTGCATGCTAATATCTAGAGTCTGTGTGTGGACTTTCTGTTTCATTAACTTATTAAATTTAACACCATGTATTTCAATTTTTTGTAGTTAGAATTCAGGGGACTTTTGCGTTTTTGGTTGTCATCATCTCAATCCCTAAAGTTATGATGTTACGTAAAACACTGCCAAGTGCAAAGTGAAATTTAAAATTTTTCAAAAGAAGTAGAATTTTATTATGTTGATAGAAATGATAATAGAATACCATTTAAATCACCCCAAAAGTCTAAACTGCTAAAAACTGAAGAAGGGAAAATCAACAAGGTTGAAAACATGGTAGGCTCTTCAAAAAAAAAAAAAAAAGGCCTGTGGCTTCACTGGTGAATTCTACCAAACATTAAAGAATGAACATTAATCCTTCTCAAACTCTTTCAAGAACTAGAAGAGGAAAGAATTCTTCCAAACTCATTCTATGCGGTCAATAGTACCCTGGTGCCAAGGCCAGACAAAGACATCATGAGACAAAACTACAGGCCAATATCCCTTATGAATTTAGATGCAAAAATCCTCAACAAAATACTCTCAGACTGAACCCAGCAGCATAGTACAAGGATTATACACCATGACAGAGTGATATTTAGCCCAGGAATGCAAGAGTGGTTCAAGGTACAGAAACCAACCCACGTACTACATCACACTAATAAAATGAAGGAAAAATACAACATGATTATTTAATGCAGAAAAGCATTTGGCAAAGCCTAATACCTTTGCATCAGCTATTTTCAACTAGTGTGTCCCAAGAATTTTTAAAACATGGACTACCTGACTCTTTAGTCAGGGGTACAGACCTCTTTTCCCTTAGATTGTCAAGGAAAAAAATGACAACAGCCAACACAATAGCCATTCAGTGTGAATGAATCAAAATTATACCGCCCGGCCGGGCGTAGCTCAGTGGTTGAGCGTTGACCTAGGATCCAGGCGATCGGGGTTCGATTCCCGGTCAGGGCATATGCTCATGTTGTGGGCTGCAGCAGATCAATGACTCTCTCATCATTGATGTTTCTATCTACCTCTCTCCTTCTCCTTTCCTCTCTCCGAAATCAATAAAGATATATTTAAAAAACAAAATTATACCTATTTTTTTGTCAGATCAGCAAAAATTACATTTTTTGGTGTGCTGCAGAATTTTAGTAATTAGTTTATGTGTGCCATGAGATGAAAACGGTGTCCTGTCATGTTATTGTACAATTTTGTGGGGAAAATTAAGCCAAAAAAATCAAAAGTGATTTGTTCTTCTTGGTTCTAAAAATCAGTTTTGAGGCCTCCCGGTGCTCACCACAGGCTGTGTCCTTATACTGACTGTACAGAAAGAGGAGGCAGAGTAACACCCCATATACACCTCAGCCCCAGCCCTTTGCCTGGTCTGTATTGTGAGTGGGGGACATGGGGGGTGGAGAGTAAGTGTTTGACAGCTAGTAGTCTAAACTCAGCAAGAGAAGAATCTGATTGGCCGGTTCAGGTCTCTTCTCTTGCCACGCTTTAGCTGTGGACGGGCTGGCCTTGAGCCAGGGCAGGGCCCTGGACTAATCCATGGGCCACACTGTATAGAAGATAGCCACTTAGGGACTTTGGGTGGGGCAGAAACACCCCATCAGAGCAAAAGCCTCCCTCTCACCAGCACCCTCCTATTCCTCCATCGTCATCCATCCTGAGAATTATCCAGCCTCTTCTGGACCCTCCAGCTGCCAGGCTCTGGAAGAATGACTGTCAGCCCAGCCACCTCCCCTCCCCAACTCCCTCCTGCTCTTCAACACCCCTCTCCTGCTTCCCCCAGCCACTCCCTCCCTTCCCAGTTCTGTCCTGAAGAAGCTTGGAGTACAATCTGCTCTAGGGAAATCTAAAGTTCAGGGCTTTGGGCAATTAAGCTCAAGGCCTCTCATTGGGCTAGGGGTGAATGACCCGGGGAGCATTCCCGTGGAAATGGTTTGAGAAAGCTGAGTCATCTGGTGTCTTTGTCAGGGCGGGCCCCAGGCAACTGACCCTCTCGAGGTCAGTGCCCCTGACTTCCCTTTGTGCCCAAACCTCCACCTTAGGAGGGAATTGGGCCCTTGAGATTCCTACATTGTCCTGCCTTGAGAGGTGTGTTTGAGGAGGAAAGTAAAAGAGGGCAAGGACCCTGTTTGACCCTCAGAAGATATTTTGAGGTGTTTTGAGACAGTAGTAGGAAGTTTTCTGGTATCACATCACTAACTGCTTCCTCCGACTGTATCTATTCACCAGACCAGGTCAGGGAGCCGCCTCTGTCCCCTCATTTGTCCTCTCTCACTATCCAAGACCTTCACCTGAACCTCAACAGAGCCCTAGTCCACTGCTCTCTCTCTACCTCCATGGCTTTGTACACAACCAGGTGTCGTAAACTCTCTGACCCTCAGTCTTCTTATTTGAAACTGGAAATGAAGACAACACCTACCTTTAAAGAGAGGCTGTAAGGCTTCCGCGAGATAAGGAACATTTGCATTTCCTACAGCACCTGGTACACCATAAGTGCTCAATAGGCCTTAGTTGCTGCTGTTGCTGTGATTTTATATTATCAGCCATGCAACCACTTCTAAGGAGCACTTAGTGTGTCTCAGGCTGTGTCCCAGGAACCTTGGGGTACGGTGTGTGGCCCCAGATAGATTTAAATCTATTTGGAGAAAGAAGAAAAATCACCAATCACCAATAAAATAGTTCATAAGCAATTTGGCAGAGTTTTTAAAAATCTGTCCATGCCCAGCCGGGCGTGGCTTAGCGGTTGAGCATCGACCTAGGATCCAGGCGGTCAGGGTTCGATTCCTGGTCAGGGCGCATGCCCGGGTTGTAGGCTCGATCCCCAGTCGGGGGCATCCAGGAGGCAGCCGATCAATGACTTTCTCATCATTGATGTTTCTGTCTCTCTCTCTCTCCCTCTCCTTTCCTCTCTCTGAAATCAATAAAGATATATTAAAAAAAAAAAAAAATCTGTCCATATGCTCAGAAATTTCACAACTCTTTCTCTTAAATACAGCCTCCCTCTCCCACTTGCTGCATCTCCGGCTGCTATTTGGCTGGACAAATCCATCATCAAGATGTGGTGGGCCAGACTTTGGGAAACTCACAAGGCCCTCTTCTGGCTTTTCCAACTAGTCCTTCCTTCCACATGTCAAGCCACCAGCACCAACGCAGTCAAGGCCTCGGCCCTGATTCTCCCACCCCTAGGGCCCCAGAGCCTGAGTTCCAGTCAGGTTCTTGGGGAGAAGTTGTTGACCAAGGGGCATTGAGAACTTTGTCCCTACCACCCCCCTAGAAGGCTCTTTGGAGGGTAGGGGGTGATATAGGATGGAGGTGAGCCAGGAGCAAAGGATGGCTAAAGCTATTTATCGGAGGGAGGAAGGAGGGACCACACCTAGGGGACCGGGAGGAGTCATGAACCTGGGAACTCAGCCAACTGAGAAGATCAAATTTCAAATTCCTCTGGGATGAACTCTGAAATAGAAGCTGTGGGCAGGGAGGCCGGAGGAGGCTGAGAGCCAGAGGGAAGGCCCAGCCACTCTACCTACTGTCTGCCCGAGTCCTTTGGGAAAGGCTGGCAGTCAGCAGGGCCAGGACCCACCTACCCCAGGTCCCCCACCTGCCTGCTCCTCTCAGTGCCTGCCGAGAACGGAGAACCAGAGGGAGAGAAGATAATGGAGCCAGACAGGACTCAGATAAAACTTGACCCCAGGTGAGTGAGGGCAGCAGGCCCTGAGCCAGCAGCCAGTTGCTCAGCAGCAGGTGGCCTCTATCCCTCTGGCCTGTCCCTCCCTCTCTTCCAGAGCCCTTTGGTTCCTAGCGCACAGAATGAGACAGGACTGATAATGGCCTGGTTATCCCTGAGGTCCTCAGGGATTCCATGGGGTCGGGCATGACCCCACAAAGCCTTAGCTTTCTCTCCCCATTTGAGGAGAGAAAGATCCCAGAGCTGGGAGCTGGGGGAGAGGGTGCATGCACAGGGCCCCGCCCAAAAGCTGGAGACCCATCCCTAACCCGAAGGTCCACTCTTTCTCTGGGATCCTGCTCTTTCTCCTTAGCTATCCCCTAGACTATGCCCCAAGGGAAGGAAAGGGAATGGACTGTGGGCTCTTCGGGCACTGCAGCCAGACTGTCCATGGCCTAGGTGGCAGGCTGCCTTACACACTAGACTAGGCCCATTCTCCACCCCCTCCCAGAATCACGACCTGGAGGGGGAATGGACAAGGAACCTGAACCCAGAAGTGTTTAAGGGTGTGTCAAGTAACTGGTGTCCCTTCTGGTACCCTCTCCTCTCTACGAGTACCCATATCTGAACGCAGGCTGGTGTCTCTCCAGGTACACGGCAGATCTTCTGGAAATCCTGAAAACCAATTACAGCATCCCCTCTGCCTGCTTCTCTCACCCTCCGACTGCAGCCCAACTTCTGAGAGGTGAGTCAGGGACCCTCCCCAGAGGAAGAAATGGGCGTCCTGGTGGTAAGTCAGGACAGTTGAGAGGAGCAGAGGAGAGGTGGCTCTTGGCTGGCCAGCCTGAGAGCCTGGGAGGAGTGTCTGTCTGTCATGGTTAAGGCGTTGGAAAAGAGCAACTCCTCAAGGAGCCAACAGGCTAAAAGAGGGGTATAGCCTAGCCCAGGAGACAAACCTGCATGTTGGGCCTCCCACATATCCTAGCCTCAAAGCTCATTCAAATTGGGGACAGTGGCCTAAAGCATTTTTCAGACCCCAGGACCATCCAGGGACTCAAGATGGTGCCCAAACGACCCAAGCCTCACAGAATCCCCTTGAGGTCTGCACAACACCCTTCTTGGGAAGGGCCTGTATCATTCTAGAGGGGTGGTTATTCTGAACAGTGTTCTAGAAACTTAGGTGAACCTGTAAAAGTATTCTGACAGTGCCGGCCAACTAGGTTCCTATTTTGAAAGTGAAAGGCTGGGGATGGGACTCAGTTTATTCCCTGGATGCACAGAACATGACAATCAAATGACCCCAGCGTCTTCATAGCAGATGTGGCTCCACCACATTTTATTTTGTTTTCCTACTGTGTGATTAACTACCTTTTAGACACTGATAAATAGGAGCCAGTGTCTCTGTGGTACCTGAATGCTTTTCCCAGCCTCCTTCCTGACTTTGTCGCCTCAAGGAGTAGACTCTTTCTGAACAACAGGATGTCGTCTGTGTGCATCAGGAGGCACATGTGGCCATGTCCTTGGACATTGTCAGCCTTTTTTCAGGTGCTCTGAACCAGAGTGAGTGCCAAATGCCAGAGTGTCCAGAGCAGGGGTGGGGAATGTATGTGGCCCATGAAATCATTTGGTCTGTCCCTGCCAAGGCAGCCACAGGTGGAACTTGAAATTCAGTAACTCTAGGAGCTTTTTTCATAGCTAATTTTTAAGTTGATAATTCTATATGGCCCGCAAATGATGTTATAAATATCCAAATGGCCCTTGGCAGAAAAAAGGTTGCCCACCCCTGGTCTAGGAAAACCCGTTAGCTGCTCTGTGATTTGTGCCAGTGGACAGCTGCTACATCTAGTTCATAGAGTGTAGCTGGTGATACACCAGCCATTGCCAGCCAGAGTCGATTTTGTCCCCTGGGGACTTTTGGCAATGCCTGGGGACAGTTTCTGTTATCACAGCTAGAGGGTGCTACTTGGCATCTAGTGTGTAGAGGCCAGAGATCCTGCCCTGGAAACAAAGGAAATCCTCCCAAAGGGTCAATAGTGCTGAGACTGAGAAACCCTGCTTTCCACAGTGAAAATGACTCTCACACTGTTTGGCACCAACAATATTCAAAGTAGGGAGACCATTCGGGGCCTGGTAGCCTGGTGAGCTGCCTTGTTCCCAGGTGCAACTGTTTTGAGAGTGGCGAGCAGGCCACGGGCACTGCTGGCCTGGGGCTGAGAGGGAGCGAGCAGGTAGGTTCCCCAGACACCGCGGAGCTAGATCTGGCAGATTCAAGGTTGCTGGTGGGGAAGTAGGGGACAGTTGAGAGGCTGGGCAGGTAAGGTGGGGCCCAACGAGTGTCAGGCAGAAGAGTTGTACTTTATCCTATAGACAGAAGGAGCCTGGCGAGGGCTCTGAGATTGGGAGGGGCTGGATAGTGCTTCAGGACCATTAATCAGTAATCAGAATGGACTCCAAGGAAGAAGAACCTTGAGAAGCAGGGGTATAAATTGGGGCTATTGCCCCAGCCCAGCATGAAGGAAGAGAGTCTGAGCCAGAACAATGCCAGGGAAAGAAAGGGAAGGCTGGAAAACGCAGGCAACCCAAAGAAAGAGCAGGCACTCGGTAAATAAATATCTAGACAAGGTAAGTGAAGGAAAAGGAGACTAATGATGACTCTGGGGATCTGGGTGCAGAAACCAGGAGAGCCAGGAAGAGGCGCCCATTGGAGGGTGTGGAGAAACCCCTTCCTTCTTCCTTCGTGAACTTTGTTCCTCAACATAAATGCCATTTAAGAAAGAGCTATTCTGGAAGAACTAGTAAACCTTCCAATAATCTGTTTTTGAAACATCTATGATTTTATTGCAATTATAATACTTACAGCATTTTTTTTTAATGGATTGATCCAAACATTTATATAGATCTGCAAAGGGCCATGAAAAGCCAAGACAGTTCTGAACAAGCATAAGTATAAGTAGAGTACTTGCCTTCCCAGAGAAAAGGCTTATAATAAGACTAGGGAATTAAAGCAATGAGGCAATAACTACAAGTAGAAAAATGGAACAGAAGGCTGTCTGTTTGGGACCCCTCTTGCTGTGGCAGGAGCTTTTGTCTCTCCTTCAATAAAATTTTGCTTTCACTTAAAAAAAGAAGAAGAAAAAAAGAAAAGAAAAATGAAACAATATAGGGCCTAAAAATAAACCCATGTCCACGTGGGGACTTGCTCTATGAAAGAATGCTATATACATCAGAGGGGCAAGATGGACTCGTCAAGAAGTGATGCTGGCCCGGTCGGGCGTGGCTCAGTGGTTGAGCATCGACCTAGGATCCAGGCGATCGGGGTTTGAGTCCCGGTCAGGCCACATGCCCGGGTTGCGGGCTCGATCAATGACTCTCTCATCATTGATGTTTCTATCTCTCTCTCTCTCCCTCTCCTTTCCTCTCTCTGAAATCAATAAAGATATATTTAAAAAAAAAGAAAAAAAGAAGTGATGCTGGACAATTGCCTGTCCCTATGGCAAATAAATAAACATGAAAATAGTGCCAACGTAGCTTTAATCCAGGTAAATGCAAATATTCTTACAAAAGAAAAAATAGAAAGATATCTTCATGAGAGTAGAAAATAATTTCTTAAACACAAGAAAGCATAAGTGGTCATGGAGATTGACTACATAAAGCAAACTCTGTACAACTAAAAGCACTATGAAGAATGTAAAAAGCCAAACCACAGACTGGGAGAAGATATTTTCTTCTTTTTTAAAAAAATAAATCTTTATATATATCTTTATTGATTTCACCTAGAGAAAGGGAGAGGGAGAGAGAAACATCAATGATGAGAGAGTCATTGATCGGCTGCCTCTTGCACACCCCCAACTGGGGATCAAACCCGAAACCGCGGGCAGGTGCCCTGATCAGGAATCGAACCACGATCTTCTGGATCCCAGGTTGATGTTCAACCTGCTGAGCCACGCCAGCCAGGTAGGAGAAGATGTTTTCAAGCCTATAACCAACAGAGGGTAAGAAAAATTACCCAATAAAAATTAGATAAAATATATGAACAGACAATTCACAGAATAGGAAACCCAAATGGCCAATAAATATACAAAAAGATTGTCTATTTTCTTAGGATTTAGGGAGCCAAGAGTTAAGTAATAAAATATCATTTTACTACACTCATAGGCAAAATAAAAAGTTTGATAATCCCAAGTGAAGGTAATTTGAGGTGAACTGTGAACTCTCAGGCTGCAGGTATTGTAAATTGGTATAACCACTTTGGAGAGTAATTAGATATCTGTAACACTGAAGATTCTCATCCCCTACAACCCAGCAATTCTAATTCTAGGTGTATAAATAGAGGAACTTTCCAGTATGTGCCAAGGAGACATGTCCATAAATGCTTATTGTAGTATTTGTTTGCCAATGAAAATAATAACAATCATGAAAATGATGTTGGCAATACTAAACTTATGGACCTTGGTCTCAGAGAAGATTTTATAAATTTGACCTCAAAGGCAAGGGAAACAAAAGCAAAAATAAATGAATGGGACTGTATCAAACTAAAAATTTCTGCACAGCAAAAGAAACTCAACAAAACAAAAAGGCAACCAACCGAATGGTAGAAGATATTTGCAAACAACATCTCCAATAAGGGTTAATATCCAAAATATATAAAGAACTCATACAACTCAACAACAACAAAAACACACAATCCAAATTAAAAATTTGCAGAGGACCTGAACAGACTCTCTCCTAAGAAGACATACAAATGGCTAACAGATATGAAAAGACGCTAAACTTCACTAGCTATTAGGGAGATGCAAATCAAAATGACAGTGAGCTACCACCTCACACCTGTTAGAATGGCTGTTATCAGCAAGACAAGCAACAGTAAGTGTTGGAGAGGGTGTGGAGAAAGGAATCCCCACTCACTGCTGGTGGGAATGCAGACTGGGGCAGCCACTACGGAAGGCAGTGTGGAGGCTCCTCAAAAAATTAAGAGTAGAGTTACCATATGACCCAGCAAGCCCCACCTGAAAATTTTGAAAACATTTATTAGTAAAGATATGTGCACCCTTATGTTCACTGCAACACTATTCACAGTGGCCAAGACACAGAGACACCGAAGTGTACATTTATGCGATGGAATACTACTCAGCCATGAGAAAGGAAGAATTACTGTCATTTGTGACATGGATGGTTTTAAGAATGGTGTGCTAAGTGGAATAAGCAGGCGGGAAAAGTCAAGAATCTGTATGATTTCACTCGTGTGGGATGTAAAACTGAAAACAGCAAATGAACAAATGACAAGCAAACAAAAACTCAGACACAGACTACAGTACAGTAGTTACCAGAGGGGAAGGGGGGAGGGGAGGGAGGTGCTGAGGGGGGTCAAATATATGGTGACGGAAGGAGATTTGACTTTGGGTGGTAAACATACAATGCAATATACAGATGATGTATTATAGAATCAAATACTTGAAACTTATATAATTTTATTAACCAATGTCACACCAATAAATTTAACTAAAAAAACACACACCACTGTTGGTGGAAAAAATATTTCACGAGATGATGCCATTTATAGAGATTTTTAAAATGCAAAGCAATATAGTATGTTGAGTATGTAGATATGTTGTAAAACATTAAAACATAAATGGAAAAGACATACATCAACTTCAGAATAAGTAGTTAGCCCTGGGAGGTGGGTAAGGAATGGAAAAGGACCCAGGAGGTATACACAAGGGCCTTCAAATACATCTGTAATGTTTA